ATTTTAGGGTTATTTTTATTGAAAAGGAGCATGATTGACCTATAACAAATACAATTTTCCCTTTTCTTTAAGGGATTTTGTTTCTTATACTGTGCAAACTCATTATAACATGGACATTGGAAATTACCTTGTCATACCAGGTATATGTATCTTGTAAAGTTATAATATCAGTAAATAATAATAATAAAAAAATATATGTAAAGAGCTGGTCCGAAAACGACTTGGTTATCAGGAGTATCATGTTATACAAGAGGTGTTTATAACAAGTTACCATTGTATTAAATGACAAATTGATAAATAAACCTACATTCACAACCATGTCAAAATATTGAATATTATTTCAATTAAACAAATATATGTGTAGTACTTGAAGATGGAAATCCACCCGAGCAAAACCATCATTTGTTTTTAATTCATTATCTCACAGTCAATTTAGTAATTCATTAACCACAATTTTGTCAACAGACATATTTTCATAATATACATAAAAGGTAATACAACCCATGATTGTGTCATGGACTTGGAATGTTATGAACATTGCACACAAATACAACAAAAGATGTCTTCAAAACTCTCTTCATGAGGGAATCCCTAAGCCCAACTCTAATGCCCCGTTGACACTTGCCCGCATTATGGTTTGCGCATATTTAGACACAGACTCCTGCGTGCCAATGCGGGAAGTATTCGTGGTAGCGTGCGGGAGGATGCGGGCCATTGCGTGAATGCGTGATAGAATTTTCGAAATGTTCAAAATTTTGGCACGACAAATTTTATTGGCAACTTTCCTAAACACTTTGTGAACTATGCGCAACCTATGCGCTACCTAGTCGGACCAGTACGCGCCGATGCGTGACCGTCGATCTAGTGACACGCATGCTCACGACTAGTTCACAACTAATTTGCTCACAATTTGCGTATTGGCTGTGCATATTTCCTGCGCCAGCAGTTCTCGCATGCCATGCGCAGTCTACAATTGTGGAACAGGAGAGCACGAAACGTATGCATTATTCATGTTTGATCAGTTTGAACATCGCGAATATTGAAAGGTCATCGTGGCACCAGGTAAAAGAAAAAGCACAAGAGGCAAGACCGTCATAAAGGGCCAAAAGAAGGCCCCAGTCGATACAAGAGACAGGTCAGTCGCTCCCCCTCAGGGAGCTAGTGGCACCCTCCTCCTCCTCCTCTGACAATGCCTAAACCTGCAAAGGAGCAGACCTCCACGGTCCCGACGCAATCACAGTCCAAGGCCAGTCCTAATGCTAAGGCAAGGAGAAGAAGAGAGTTTGTGGGTCCAAGGAAAATATTCAAGACTACACATGGACCGTTGGGGCTACACAGCAAGCTGCTGATTTCATCCAAGAGAGGCCACAGTTACATGACAAGAGGCAGAAGGAATGGTTAACCGTAGCTGCCAAAGCCAGGTTGTGGACAAAAGCTGGAGCGAAAACTTGATCTACCTGCCACTGGTAAGTAGGGGAGAGCGGGGAGTGTTCGCCCTATTTTTGATATCACTCTTCTAGAGCCGTCACTTCATACGCAGGAAGACCATGCTTTTTCATGTATTAAGTCATAGGTAATGTCTAGCTAATATCCCAGATTAAAGGACACTTTTGTTGTTTTCCAGAGTTGCAATGATATATTGTTTCGAAATAGATAGTTTATGTGAGAACGAAGTAGGTTGTATCTTTGAATGTAGCTCATATTATAAGCATAACTTGTCACCATAGCAAAACAAAATCCAAAATACAAAGACAATATTTTTCAAATAAGAATATATGCAAACATTTTTGTATTTGTATTGGAAATACTTTAATAAGTTATAGTTCTTTCACAGAAATGTCACAATGGGGAAGACCTACTTATGACAGTGGACTATACTACTCGGACTTTTGGGAACTAGACAACGTCAAATACAGATGTCGTTTCCTGCCTAAAGTCACACTTCAGTCGTCATGGCATACCAGATGAGGTAGTAAGTGACAACGGGCCGCAATTCGTGAGTCAAGAATTCAAGCAGTTCTTGAAAGAGTGGGAGATTTGTCATACCACATCATCCCCCCCCCCCATCACCCTCAATCTAATGGGAAGGCAGAGTCTGCCGTTAAGATTGCCAAAACCATCATCAAGAAATGCACAAAATCAGAAACGGACGTGCATAAGGCAATTCTGGAATGGAGAAACACTCCTACAGAAGGGATGCACAGCAGCCCAGTACAGAGACTCATGTCACGTCGGACACAGACAACACTGCCGACAGCTAAACACCTGCTGAAACCAAAGGTAGTAGGGGTGCAGAAGAAGAAGGTCAAAGAGCAAAACTGCACTACGACAAAACAACAAAGCCTTTGACTGTGGTTATGCATTGCGTGAACTATTTGTAAATTAGATGCGACCCTATACGGACTGCGTGCCACTAATTGGCACGCATTGGCACGCCATAGAGCGGGGCAGTGCGGGACCAAAATGCGGGCAAGTGTCAACGAGGCATTTGCAATCTTAACCCTAGCACTAATGATAATAGTTTGAATGCCTGGAGCAAATATTGGATTGGATCATCCTAAATTCAAGCAAACAATCCAAACTCCAGCTGGTTTTGAATAAGATTTAATGTAATGACATCATAAAGACACCCAAACTTTCATGAACACATTTTTTTTGTTCATGAAAAGACCTATTAGCCCATAGATAACTTTAAACAGAGAACATAAATAGTACAGGAAATTATTCTATTTCATATTACCAAGTAATACTAAGTCAAACGGATTTCCATCAAATTAAATAACCAGCCAACAAATATTACTTCATACAGTTATTCAACATTTTGTGATGTACTAATATGTCAACAAAAACAAAATCATTAAGGAAACGTATAAAAACAGACATTGTGCAATATCTTACTTAAAAAGTGAAAAAACGTGGCTGATTTTGGCAATCCCCCTCTAAGGTATCTTAAAGATATACATGTACATGTAGTATGCACTCAAGATACAATGAAATATGTCTGTTTTAGGACGATAAACAAATGTTTTTGAGGTAGTTCCCAATATGATTTTCCAAACAATAGATTTTATACACAAATTTAGCTCCAATTATTGTCTTAAAAACAGTGCAATAGTACCCTAAGTTCAGAATTAGGTCTGCTTTACAAGGCTGATTTTTGAATTTGATTTATAGAATGTCCAAAAAGTGTTTGTCTGTCAAAATATAACATTCCCTGATAAGTGATTAATGTAATGAGCTTTCTTTCATTCCTATATAAGAAAGATATTTGCAGTGGTGCTGACAGCCCAGCTTCAATTAAAATTTTTCTAGCGATTTCTTGTGGGCTGACCAATATACACTTCTACTTTACATGACATGAGGTATGAACATTGTATCAATCAGATTCTCCAAAGAGAATCTTATTCATGATTATAGAGTAAATATTATTATTAGTGGTAGTATAAACCAAATGACACTATAATACTGACAGCGAATAAATACCATCACAAATACTCAAATGATATACCTATAATACAGTTTAAAACCAATATGTGATGTATAAGGCAGCCGTGTCTAAGTGAGGCCTTGTCAAAATATTCAAACAATCAACTCTACAGTGGCTAATTTCATGTTATCACTCAAAACGTGTACAATTACTAACTTATTTTTGACATGTTACAAATGAAACATGACGGTACATTGGAGATGAGTTCATCTCAAAGAATATGTCGCAGAACATCAAAGACAGGAGTACATTCAGCCTATATACTCGTAATATTTACTGCATATAATTCTGTTAGCATTTTGTAGGTTTTTAAAATTCACACCCATTGTGAATAGTACTGCATCTTGACATACCAGATAAATCATTGCCATTCATGTTATACTATAGATATAATGACTGCTATGAGAGGGATACCGGTAGTTGTTTTTATAGGCTCATGGGGACGTTACATCCTGCTATCACCTTGAGGCGCAAAAATTTCTTTAAGGACAGTTGTAGAATTTCTCCATGTTCAACTTACTCAGGACGTGCGATGAACATGAAGAAATCTTCCCAAATTTCTGTTTACATGTACATGTAACAATGGCAACAAGATTCTCATCCTACAGGTACTTTGATCAAATTTCCAATTTTTTTTTATCCATCTTATCCATGAATTAAAATAGTGTCAACTAAATATGTCCTCCTTGCCGGATACAAGATATGGAATCAGGGCATCTGATCTCCAATAATAATCACTGTCAAAGTCAAATATTGAACCAGACAACAACAAAATATCAGTTACTGACAAGATAATGTTAAGTACTGGTCACGCGAATAATACTGTGGAAGAAACCATCTTGAAGATATTCTGAATTTTTGATTATGTAGTGAATGAAAACATTTGATTATCATGAGGTTTGGGAATTATCAAAGTTCTGATTATAAATTAATTTCATTCCTAAATAAAATATTATAGCATTTAAAGAGCAATCTTTTCATGGGGGCGATATTACTATGATATTCTTTTACATGAAAATGGGAAAGCTAAATTTCATTTTCATTAACTTTTTCTTTAAAGGTACTATGTCCTTTTTGCAGCCAACCTCAAATGCTGTAGAACTTTGCAGGAATTATGAATATGTCATGTATGTCCTATCTGTGAAATTTAAACGTTAGCAGTGTCCTCATATTCAAATTATGCAAGGAAACCCATTTACTTGCTAGACTTCACTGTCAGACACTAATGAGTGACTGACTGGCTTTTTTTCTTCTTTGGTAGTAACATACATGAAAAGAGTTGTAAAGGGTACATGAGCATTTGTCTACATCAATAACCCACTTCTTGTGATGGCCAAGATTAATAAGATTGAATCTTTGCGCAGCATAAAATGTATGACCATTCGGTACAATTGTCTGAAAATCAAGACTATTACTTTTGGGCTCTATAGCCCTAAAGTCGATTTGACAACTAATAGTCGTTATTTTCCCCCTTGAAGACATTTTCAAGCACCACCTTTTTTAGGGAAGTTCTAAATTAGTATTATCTTTCAAATGCAGTTGGAATTTAACTTTTTCATTTTTTTTTTGGCCTGCAAATGGGACATAGTACCTTTAACATAGAGATCAAATTCACTATTAAACAATATCAAGTTTAAAGTGGGACATTAAAAACTGCCTTATTAATAGCACAAATTTGAGCTTCAAAAAGCTCTAGTAATCGCCAACTTTAAGATATGAGAATACACAACACCTAGTACCTTAGGATCATTCACATATACAACCTTGTGATATATTACCACATATAAAACAGAGCAAAATACTCTCGGGACCCAACAAATCAAAGTCCAGAACGTCAAATATTAGAACTTTAAATAGAGGATCATGTATACATACCCTGACGATGTCAATTCACAGTGTGAAGCCCTGCATAAAGGTAGAATAATAAAACTGCATGTATGTGAATTAGGATAAATTCAAACCTCTCACTTTCATTAAAAGATTGATTTTATATTAAAGAAAGCTATTTATAATTTCATACATGATTTGACACAATCTAAATTATATTATAACTCGGAAATTGGATTGTATGACAATTATACCAGAAGAAGGTTATGACGTTACCCTTAACCTTTGCCCTCAGCTAGTCCAGTCTTTATGAGGTACACCTGGCTTAATGTCGTCATAGGAGAACCCTGTAGAATGATCTTCAGTACAGCTACAGAATGGGAACGTCCCACAGCAGGGTTGATCCTGAAACCTTGGCATCAATCTCATGAAGGCAAACTGATACGGCGTAGGTGCGATGGATGCCTGGTGCTCTGCAACGGCTGCTTTGGCTTTCCTGATGATCTCCTGCATGTTGGGTGTGGTCGGATCCAGAGGGGTAGTCTCAGAAGGATCAGATCGTAGCTCGTAGATAAGAGGTGGGTCGTGGTTGGTTGTAGTGGGACCCTGGCATCTACAGGGATACGCATCAAAACAACCCATAGTACCATGGGGTCCTTCTACCAGATTGGGAGTTGTGAACAAGAGCTTATATATTCGGTTGCCTGAAATAAGAGATAAAAGACATTACTACACTGTATGTATACCATGGATTTAAGCGAAAAAATGTATGCTTCTTATATTATTTGTGTAAATAAACTGTATAAAGATAATGCATAAATGTGCCAAGTAATTAACAACTAGAGATAGATTTTCATGAGTGTTTGGGATAAGAACATTATCATGACTGTAATACATAATATATTGTTCAAAATCGGTTTATGTTGGTTTACAGTGCCGTTTGGCAAGTCCCTATATACAAACATTTCTTTGTAATATTCAATCAACAACTCAAGTATAGGAGCAGATTCTCTCCAAATGAACTACAATACAAATATCATCACCATTCATAGGCTACAGCATGTACATGCAAGTATTGTGATCTACTGGAAAACTAATTGAACTACATAGCTGTGGCATCCTTTGGCAAGACATTAATGCACATCTGTCACTGTCGACCCAGGTGCAGTAAATGGTTACCAGAAAATAGAAACTCCTGGAATGTTTGAGCAACTTATCAGTACAGCTCGGCTAGAGCTGGGTCAATATGACACTTACCTCTGAACAGTTAATTACAGTTGTACAGTCAAACCTGTCTATAGCGATCGCCCAAAGGAAACACACAAAGGGGTCTTTGTAGACAGGTTCCTTTATTACATGTTTCAATGATAAACCATGTTTAAGGGAAACTAGAAATGTGGTCCTTGTAGACAGGTGGTCACTAAAGCAGGTTTTACTGTAGAATATTCTGACCGGCTTAGACATTTGAAATTGCCCACACTTGCATACCGTCGTCACAGAGCGGATATGATACAAACATATAGACTTTTCCATGGGATTGACCGCAGTGACCCCAACCAATTCTTTCTGAGACCTTTGAATGACAGAACACGTGGCCACAGCTTCAAACTATCAAAAGTTAGAGCCTTCACTTCTATCCGAATGGGATCGTTTTCACAGCGAGTCGTCAATTTATGGAATGCGCTTCCAGCTTATGTAATTGATAGCCCATCTGTAAACTCATTCAAATCCAACCTGGAAAAAGTATGGAGAGCTAAATATGACATGTACAACCCTAAAGAAATGTTTCCTTGCTATTGCATTGTCCGGAGCTCCGACGTAGGCGCAATCCCCAGTACATACAGACATTAATCCTGCTGCAGAGGGGCATATAAGTAATTATACTTGAAGCCCAACATCAAGGTAAATCAAGGTAAATATATCAACACATATATCATGATAAAGCTGTGATATTATCTCACCTTTCCTTGGGCGATATCTTGCCCCATGAATGTATCCTCCACAGTACTGAAACATGAATTCATGAGGTGAGATACCACCTTCCTGTCCCTGTAGTAACGGCATGATATCCTTGCCATCAATGATGCGATCCCTTGGTATCTCACCACCTGTCAGACCAGCTATAGTAGGTAGAAGATCAACTATGCTGGTAGGTTCAGAGACCTCGGATTCTGGAGGGACAACCCCAGGGTAGCGCACTATGGTTGGAACACGGATCCCTCCCTCAAAACAATTGGCTTTACCACCTGCAGTCAGTGTAAATAAGATATATGAAGGTGATGACATTGAGAGTCTGACATTGAGAGTCTGGCATACATGTAAGTGAATTTATAAGCGAGTGCATTTCTGATCAATACTGTTTCGAGAATTCCCCTTCAAACATTCTTCTACTGAGCACAATGAAATGTCTCATAATAAGTTTTGTTTTTTATGTATATATTGTATGTAAGTCTACCGGGGGGGGGGGGGGGGGGGGGGGGGTAACTAAAACTTTATTAAATCCATTAATTGACCATGGAGACTACCAGTAAAAAGGGGGTATTACTGTATTATTAAAGAAATGTTGCATATTCTCGAAACCTTGTAATAACTTCTTAGCTAATGTAATATTACCAAAGAGCTAGCAGTTGAAAGCGAAGGACTACTCCAATTGATATTTTACATAAAGCTGGATAGATATCTATGAATTATTAAACTCTCATTAATAAAATAAATTATGGTATATCAAGAGATAATTGTACATGATTAATTTCATCAACCATACATGCTAGATGTACATACAGTCACACGTAGTCATAGTCATCGTAATCACCTTTATAGATTCCATTTGAGCCGCCCTCCCTCTCTCCACTCCTGGTGTATTCTTCAACATGAGCCCCATTATCTGAGGTGAGGTATACAAAGGTGTCATCAGCGACGCCCATCCTGTGCAGCGCCCCCATGATCTCTCCAACACTCCAGTCTAACTCCTCCACCGCTGCTCCATAAATCCCATGCTGACTCCTGTCAAGGAAGTGAGGTTCAGCATAGAGTTCAGTGTGAGCCTGCAGGAAAGACATCACCAACAGGAAGGGCTCCTCTTTGTGCTCTTCCAAGAAATCCAGGGCGTGTTGTGTGTGACGCTGGGTGAGATTGGTGTAGGAGAGTGGCTGCTCCACCACGTTATGATTCTCTACAATCACACAATTCATCATAGCGATCAACTGCGGCATCACGAGACAGAACACATAGAATGAAGAGCTTGCCACGACAACAGCGACCAACGTTCTCTGCCCGACAATGCTGTACATGACCAGGATGAACGTTGCTAGCACAAGAACAACCATAGTGACGGTTACCTCGAAGTAGAAGTTTTTCCTCCACGCCTCAAACACTGTTCCATGACCACAGTCTAAGATGTTTGTGAGAGGTAGACCATAGAAGTAATCAAAACCCTGACTGTTTGGATCTGAACAATCGTCCTCTTTCTCACACATGAATCCAAGATGCCACTTTCCTACATATTGAAAAAAAAAGCATGTGTCAAACTGTAAACCTCTGGTAATGGATATTTGTCTACATACAACGTGCATCATGAGATGTACAAAACTGAAGTTATCTTTTTTTTTTTTTTTCGTTTATTTCCATTACCATCTTTACATGCCATGTTCTGTTGAACTTCCCGTAATTCATCCTACAAAAACAATATGGATTGTCTCTCTTATACAACATCATTTTTTTCAAAGACAAACATTCTCCTTAATATTTCTTTAAACATTAAGATATAGGATTGTTCATTGTTTAGACAGGGAGGTGAAAGAAAGGAGAGGAAACTCTTGTAATTTATTCAAACGCATTCGTTAGTTCTAAAGCAGGCCTTCTCAACTAGTTTATTAGAAGTGCCAAAACAAAAATGTATTGAGGTTGAAGTGCCAACCTGTATGTTTGGTGACTGTGGTGCGAGGGAGCGTAGCGACCAAGCCGATACTGGGTGTGGTCCAGGGGGCGAGACCCCTGGAAGCTAGTGGATTTTAGGGCTTTTTTAAGGCCCAGGTGTGACATTTTTAACACCTTTCTATTCCATAAAATATCAATCATAATTTCATATTGAAGTGAAATAATTAGTACGATTCCTGGGTAAAATCTACACTGGAAGTAAATTTATATGTAGTTAATTTGGTGCAATAAACACGGAAAATGTCAAAATCAAGTGAAAATCAAACAAACAAAATGGCTTGGTTACATTTTGGACTCAACTTTGACTGTGACTTTTTGATTTTGCTGATTTTTAAAATTTTTCTTTCTTTAATTTTTAAATTTAAATTTTTATTTATTTTTGTATTAATTTCTTGGAACAGCCGCGCGCCACTCCAACTGACCTCATGCGCCACAAGTGGCGCGCGCACCGCCAGTTGAGAAGGCCTGTTCTAAAGCATAACAATGGGATGTGTAATATTCCACTTGGCATTGAAGTTCCATGCTCCAAGCTGCGCTTCCACTGCGGTGAACTTTGGAGGCCAGGCACCAGTTTCACATTTATTACAAAATATTAAATTAACAGCAAAATTTCCTAAACTTTATATGGGGATTGTATTGGGAATAGTGCAGCAAACAATTTTTCAAAAATTTAATACTCCGTCCTTCCTATAATTTGTGTGCAAGAGTTGGTAAAAGAAAAATTGAATCCTGACAAAAACTCAATATTGTAGGATAATGCTAGTTTGTGCATGTTTTAATGTCCCATTATTTAATCCATGGTTTACAATCTTCAATAACATTAAGTTTGCTAATGCATGTTTTCGCGTGTTCTTTTGTATTTTTGCAGTTGGAAAAAAGGATGAAATTACACAAGTTTGTGTTCGCTTGTTCTACTCATTATACATTCAACAATTTATGAGAAATCCCTGAAAGGGACAGCAAACAGTTGATGGGATAACATTTTCTGATGTATAAATTCTAAATTCTGAAATTTCATGCGCTCTTTTATCTCACCACCTGGTCAACAGTTGCAGATTAGCGCATAACTTTTTGGCATCTTGGAGCATGGGGTAAAAGGAAAGCGGCTTGATTCCACTCCTTTCTTTCACCTCTCTGGTTTAGAGTAGTGAATCATGTGTTATATTCACCTATGAGGGCTGTTGAGTATCCTACATCTTTCACTACTTCTGCTATTGTTGTTTCATTAGAAGGAAGTCCAGCTGGTGCTGAAATAAATGAGATTACTCTCATGATGTGGAAAGATGTCATACCTGTTTAAATGAAAGAAAATAAAGGCATCAGTGATAGCAAAGTTAGTATTACTTAAATGTATATTTGATTTGATTTGATTTATTGGTTTTTGAATCTTTTTTCTTTTTTTCATCATACATTTTTGTGAACATAATATGGTTTGATGCAATATTTTAAGTGTATATAATTTTACACAGATAATAAACGAAATACCACGTATTTTGCTAGGGTTCTATTTTCACAAAGTTTGTTCACTGTGAGTTGGGTTGCAAATCACTAAGGCTCTGATAACTCTGTGTTATACAAACCAAATTCGGGTGAAGTATGAATGAGCATTACAAAGATTTACTGATTAGATTTCAGGCAGAAATGATCAAAGGTCAATGGGCAAAAGCTAAAAAACTTCTGAAAATTGCTGAATAATATCTTGTACCGCGATAACTTGAAAAGGTGAGAAGCAATTCAAACCAAACTTGGATGAAGTATGAATGAGCATGCAAGGATAAACTGATTAGATTTTTGGTATAGGGGTTACCATGTGAAAATCCTTGGTGTAACCATAAAAGATACCTCAAAATGGAACGTACAGATTTTGCATACCATATGGTCTTTCATGTTTTCCGCCAAATTAACACGTTAAGATCCCAATCAGCGACCTAGTTACAGTATACATAAAGGCTTTGTTAGACCACTCCTCTAGTATGCCGGCCCTGTCTGCATTGAACATTGCTCAAACCAACAAGATTGAAAACGTACAAAAACAGGCACTAAGAATTATCCTAGGAAGATATTACACATGTATCCAAATGCCCCATTAGTGACCAAGCTTCCAACTCTCCAATCTCCATGTTCGCTGAGAAGAGCTCTGTCTCAAGTTTACACAGAAAGCACACAAATTTGTCAGATCAAACTGACTTGAACAAGAAACATACGGAACACACATATTTGTAATTTTGGACAGGACCAAAGTCAAGAACAGAACATTGCTTAAAAGGCAGTCCCATATCCATATGTTCCATTCTTCTCATGCCTCATTGCCACCCTCTCTCTCACTCTTTCTCTCTCCTCTTCTGCATTTCTTCCTTCTTTTTTTCAAATTTTACCCTCTCTTCCTCAATATCTATATCTCCATTATACTCTCTCTCTCTCTCTCTCTCTCTCTCTATTTCTTTAAATTGTTCTATCCCTGCACTTTCTCTTTCTGTCAGTATTGTTAAATTATGTTTCTATGATAAATCCTTATATATTGTGTGTGACTGTGTTGAATTACATAATCGAGTAGTATTGTGAAAACTTAAAGGCTTATAATTTGCCATATATTTTGGTCGAATCAAACATGCATGCTTGATGTTATTTCCCAAGTGGTAGTATTTTAGTACGATGAATGATTCTTCTCAAAGATGTAAACAGTTCCTGTCCAACAAATCTTCAGTTTGTACTAGTTATAAACTCAATTAATCAGCCTCAATTTCTATTTGAAATATGATTATTCCTCACTTAATAATAAAAAAATAATACAAATAACAATAATGATGAATTAATACTATTTGTAACTTCAAATCTTTTGCAAGTATGGAATATGTAATAAGTTTTACTGTGTATTATTTGTACTTATATCTAAGTTTTGTTGAATTGTTTTTTAAAATCTGAGCTTGTAAAACTTGCATGTAATTAAGCTCTCGGGCTACCTTTTTCCTTTTGTTTTAATAAACCATTCTACTACTACTACTACTACTAGAGTCATGACATTTTTGTTAAAAGTATTACCGGTACCAGTAACTATGAAAAATTGACATCTATAAGTTCCAAGCTTGTGCATCAGCCAGTGCAGAATAGCAATGTCGACTCGGCCTCGGCCTAAGTCTTGGATCTTCGATCACCTAAGAGAACATGATCGGCCTCATGCATTAAGGAATAATCTTCTGCGTACGCATCAAATGGAGCGATCCATTACTCGAGATTGCATGGTAAGACTGGGGATGACAACAAGCACGCGTGTGAATGGGACAGGGATCTCGATGACCAACAAAGCGAAAGTGGTGAGGGTGACTTATCTATGTCACCTGAGTCACCTTTGATCACTAAAAGAAGAATGCCTCCGAAACGAAAGAAGAAATCAACAAAGAAAAAGAAATTAATACCAGTACAATGTGACTACAAAAATCAGATAATTAATACTGAACCAATAATGAACAAATGACAAAGCTACTGTGAAACTGTAAACAATGAAAAAGCTAACAGGGATCTTGATGACCAACAAAGTGAAAGTGGTGAGGAAGACTCATCTCTATCACCCGAGTCACCTTTTACCACTACAGGAAGAATGGAACGAAAGAAGAAATCAACAATGAAAAAGAAATAAATACCAGTACAATATCACTACAAAATATACTGAAGCAACAATAAACGAATGACAAAGCAAATGTGAAACTGAAACAATGTTCACTTTGTTACGTTAATTGTGCGAGGGATACGTGAAGCGCTGAAGCGAAAGAAATTATTCCTTTGGCTCCATCGCCAAAAGTGTAACATAGCATTTTTGAAACATAGAAATATTGTATCTAAAGAATGAAAAGGACTTTGCTTGTTTGATCGTGGTACAAACCATTCCAAAGGTGTAGTCAGGGAAAGTCTTCCTATAACTGTAACATATATTTCAAAGGTGATGGTAGGTCTATTGCACTAAGAATTTTGTATCAAGATCAAATGTATTAATGTTTGAATGTGTGATGCTCCAGCAAAAAATACACCGAAAGAACATGTCTATTCATCTTTATGTACAATGTATATGGATGAAAAAGATTAGAAAACAAAGTGTAGTCTCAAATATATGTGCATACTTAACAAAACAGAATTTTGTTAAAATTCTGGAAAATAATAACTTTATAGATGTGTGGAAGAAAACGTTTCCAGAAAGGGAACAGTTTACGAGAAGGCAGCTGTCATTAAACATTTATTCAAGACTAGATTATTGGCTCTTGTCGAAAGAGCACTTTTCATATATTTATTTAATCGACATAAAACCAGTGTTGAAGTGTGATCATAACGGGGTATCCATGAAACTTAAAATATTAGCACAGAGAAGGGGAAACGGTTGTTGGAAACTGACTAATTCTATCCTGAAAGATGGAAGTGTTTAAAGAAAATGTTAAAGTGCATTATCCGTATAAGGTTAATATTGAATTTAGACATTTTGATAAACAAGAATTTTCTGTCTTACCACTTCTAATAGCATATCTGCCTGTCATAAGAGCAGCTCGGCTTGGTGTGCATATAGGATGGGCAATGTGTTGTGTGAGTTTGGCGCCCTCTTTGGCCAGCTGATCAATATTTGGGGTATTTATAGTGGTGTTTCCAAAGCAGCCGATATCCCCCATGCCAACATCATCCATAAGAAAGACAATGATGTTAGGTTTTGTTCTTTCTCCATTCTCGTTTGCTGTAGCCACGATGCTAGTTGCCAGGAGCAACAGGATAACATGGGTGGAGTTTAATAACAGCGCCATCTTCTGATGTCCTTCTGGTGACTAGTATGATGACGACACCTTATACCACATCAATGCATGTGACATCAATCTGTAGAAATGGAAAGTTGTACAAGTATATAAATAGAATTTCTTCCTAAAACATAAAACAGTTGTATTCATTATTATACAAGTAGATCTACGCTTTAGATCTACCGGTAGGCAATGTTTGGTCTAAGTCTGTAGGGAGGATGAATTGGTTATAGAGTCTAGAATCACCCTTTTTCCCATCGAAGTCATTTTCAAATGATAATTTCAAATAGTTGACCGGATGCCCGGAGCAGTCGTTGGTTTCGACCTCACCCGCTGTTTGAATCGTTTTCAAGAACTGGCTCTGAGCTCTGGATCTGGAGCTCCGACGTCTTCGGCATGGCATCGGCGTCGGGTCGGAGCTCCCTGGAGTTAGGGGAAACCCCGGTGTAGTGCATTGGTCCACGGCCACTGCACCTGCGCCTGCACAATGCACACCCCAAATCCAATCAGGTCTGCAAGAATCTTTAGTATTGAAGGAGGCAGATTATCTTGAAAGTTGAAGAAGAATGACAGTGATTCGCCTTAACTTACCTCTCACAGTGTCACTGTCAAAGATAAATCGAATTAAATGTACGGGCTGGGGTTTGGACGATGCATTAGTTGACAAAGATCCTATGCAATCGAATCCCTAGCTATACCGGTACCAATATGCACATCCACAGTGGCACACATACCGTACCCTACCCGCTCGCGCGCGCCTTTCATAATATAAAGACAATTTACTCTCCCTTACTTCCGTAGTACGCTCGGTAGGCGGAAACTGCTGCTTGAAGAAAATGGGCTCAAAAATTTACATTCGCCATGTATTATGTAATATAAATATAAACATGTCTCATGTCTCCTCTTTCTTCAGATATTTCATATCTTATCTCATCTTTTCAAAGTCTGATTTTTATTCGAGAGCAAGAATGGCGAGTTCGAAAAACAAAGCTTGTCATGATAGCAAATAAGTCTCTGAGTCTTTGTAATAGTGCCATAAGACTCCTTTCAGGAAAAAAACCCATTGGTATCTAGTCAATGATTTTCAGTATTACTAGAAAGTATGCACCAAATTGCGCCAAATGAGTTTAAAAATTCAATTTTCTTTCAACTTCTGAGGGGGGCCACACCCTCCTCAGACTCCCCCATATTATTTTGACTCCATTAATAATTGTGCCCCCCCCCCCCTCTGCCCCACATTTAAAAACTCTGTTTCATAATCTTCTTCTGATATATCAGTATGTCAGCACATTATTCTCCAATGAGACAATATTTTTTTCTTTTCTCTAATAAAAAAAAAATTGTCATTTTATATAATGATAATTAACAATGATTTAGTCTCAAACTTTTAATTGAAATTATAAATCAGCTGAGATGTTTATAACAGTATAAGAATATTTATTTGAAGTTAGTGTAATCTATTATATCATGATAAATAACTGCATCAATTTGTTTGTGTTCTCCTCATTCTTCCTCTCACTCTCTCTCTCTCTCTCTTATCCTCTACACCATCCTCCTTCATTAACTATTTCCTTTTCATCATTATTTCTCTACCCTGTCTGTCCATGTTAGAACAGCTTCTGTCTCCTACTCTCCTTGTAGTACATCCCAAGTGCAGTCCCCCCTCTCTCTCTCTCTCTCTCATTTTCTTTCTCTCTCCCCTTTTCTCTCTCTCTTTCTCTCTCTCTTTCCCATTTCTTTTCTGTTTCATCCATCCTGATTGTACTTTTTATCAATGAATAATAGTTTGATTGTTATGTTACCATGTTTACCAAATGCATTTTATCAACTGTCACTGTGTTATTGTAAATTTTCGCAATTCTGCTTTGCCGCAATGAAAGTATTTTAATAAACCATTTTGAATTGAATTGAATTGAAAAAAGACAATGTAAACAGATATAAATTAAGCAAACACAGCTAGGAATTCTTCAGAAATATAACAAATCGTTCGATTAATTTTTTGTAATCAAGAAACATTGTTTTAAAGCTAAAGCCTCAGCCTTGAGAGGGATCTAATATACGACATAAAGCTAGAGTTTATTATTTACAATTTCATCACTTAAGACTCCATTTTAATCGCGCAACGATCATTGAATATTGTAAAGTCGCTTCTAAATGCATGACCCAAAATACCAAAACTTTGTATTACCTTTAATTTAATACATTTCAAGATTTATTAGAATATATAAATATATATTTATAAGAATAATAACAATTAATTTTTTTTTTACTCAGCTCTTTTATTACAGAGGCTCAAAACTACAAGGGATTTGCATATTTTGAGCCCATATGCACCCCCCCCCCCCCCCCTCCCCCTCCAAACACCCCCAAAAGAGGCCAGCAGATCGAGGTGAACACGTTAGCTCTGCTTACTACCAGAGTATACCACATATGCTCGCGTGCTTAGTTTCGGAACTAAACACTCTTCGCTAATGAAAATCCCTTGCATTTTGTTATGCATCCCATTTATTTCCGTTCTGTACTGTGATGTATAAAATTGTAAAGTAAAAATGAGCGGTGGAATTGGAATTTTGAGTTTTCTTGATCCCGACTTGTCATGCTACGTGGATGCTCTTTATCAACCAGATGGTGAACTTGGTGTTCTTGGTGGAACTATTAGAGTTGTCGAACCAAAATGCGGGTGAGTGAAAAGTAGTAAAATTGTTATACATTCCCACGCGTTGTTATTTGTGTATAGCTAGTTATAAAAATCACTGATCATGTTGATGCAAAATACCATCCTTGGGCTTGGACGTTTGCTGGAGGAGACTTCTTTCAGTCATGCAACACACTTCAAACTCGGTGAAGAATTTGATAAGAATGTGGAAATTTATTTTTGACATAACGGCAACGTGCCAAATTCACAATTTATTCCGAAGTAGACCCTAGGGCTAGATGTTTCTGAAGAATTACTTTAACAACAAAAAAACAATGAAAAACTGTCATAATATTCTCATATTTAAGTCATCATAGTTTTCCTCCTTTTCATTTTATCATTAATTAAATTAGGGAGGCCGGCCCCGGCCTGGGGGTAAGCGTTCTGTGCAAGAATCTTCAACTGTGAAGGAGGTAGACTTAACCCAAAGAAGAAGAAGAAGAAGAAGAATTACAAAATAAAAATATCTAGATTTAGCTTTATTACAAAAGTACAACTGATTTGTCGTGGTTGACAACATATGTGAAGCTTATGCTCTCACCATCACGCAGGAATTTTGAGCAACGTCTTCATGGTCTTTGTGATAGACAAGTATAGGAAACTACTGGTTAATTTTTTTTTTTTTACCTGCACAACTTTTTTTCTCCCACATCATCCATCCATGTGGTCCTTCATCTTTATGTTTGCAGGAGTGGTTTTGATTACATGTATGTATACACTATTGACCACTAATAATTCTTTTTTTCCTCATTCCCTTTGTAATTTTTCTATGAATGTAGGAGGATCACTCAGAACCCGAGGAACAGCTGTGACAGGTTCAAAGTTATCATTCCTTATGCTGGAAATTCACTTACATGTAAGCAGTCTAGTACCTCTCTATCTTCTGCTATGTTTGTGTCTACATGTCTGTCAGTTTTCTTCCCCTCCCCTTCTCTCTCTTTCTCTCTCTCTCTCTCTCCCTCTCCCTCTCTCTCTCTTCCTCTCTCAGCTGAACATAAATCACTTGTTGGTTAAAGTTATGTATTTGGTGAAAATTTAATTTTTTTTATTTTATTTGATTCTAGATAGTATGATTCTATATTTATTAAAAAATTAATATTGTAGTCTGTAAGAATAGCTTTTGTTTCTTCTCGCTCTTTAGAGGGCAAACAAATTGGTTTGCCCAGACACATAAGTCTGTGTGTTATACCAATATTCAAACATACATGTACCAAAAATGCAATTTAATTAGCGTTTGTGTCAAATGAAATTGATTGATCATATTGGAGAAAGGGATATACTTTTGAATAAAATAAATGATTTTATTGTAAAGGTGTTGGTGATTGGATTATTGTGAGATATGACATATGGTTGTATGAGTGGCTTCAGTTATTCATCATTTCCCATTTTGATGCAGGGCAAGTGATCTTTGACAGTTTACATCCATCTCTTCCACCTGATTTCATCTTTGACGTTCATGACCGAGCTTTTGCTCCAGATCTTGAAGAACTCAAGGTAAGTGCCCTCGCTTTGTTATTCATATTCATATTCGTACATTGTATACTGATAAGATATTATGTTCTGGGATGACATTAGAGTAGATTCATACTCCAATTGCAGAGCTCTCATAGAAACGTTGTAATATTCGGTCACGTCTCTGACAATAACCAACCCAGGTGGATGGGTGGTATTGAATGTGAAATTCAATGCCACTAGCCAGCTTGTCTTTTTGTAGTTCACAATGGACAATATTACTGAAACATGTAGATATTTTATTTTTTAACTTTTGATAGTTTTAAGGCAAACTAGAAGCAGACCAACTTGTTTCTTTTTTTAAACCTAGACCGCATGTTTAAAATATTTAATTGATGAGAAAATGCCCCCTAACCCCTTGGTGGGATTCTACACTTTAGGTTGATAGTATCCATGATAGTTTGATGTGTGCAGGTATTTGTAGGTTATTTTAACATTATTCACAAAATTATTGATGAATTATGATTCTTTTTTCAAAGGTTCGGTTCTTAAATTTGTTCAGCTGGATCTAATGGTGCAGATATATGCGTGTATTTGACTTTGTGCTTAAACTGCTCATGTACTTGATATTATGCTAAGTTTTGTTTTGGTCAAAGTACTATATTGAAATCTGTATTGTGTGTCTCAACTGAAGTTTTCTTTTATCTCCATAGTGCTTGGTTAATTGGGACCACACTGAGCCAAAGTCATTAGTGTTTGTTATAAGAGAGCTACTATCTCAGTACAAGAAGTATCAAGAAAGGCTACTCGGCAGCAATGCTAGGCTTCAGTTTGAATATGTGTCGTTGGTGGAAACCAGTCATTTCACAGATGTTGAAGTTCACCAAGTCCAGAAAACATCCTATGTAAGTTAAGATCAGTCCATCTTTTATCTTGAGTACTTAGGATGACATTGGTCAAAGTAAAGCCAAGATTCTTATTGTGTAATGGAATAAGTTTTCCCTCGCGCACATTTTTGTGTGATTTGAGTCAGGAAATATCAAGACTAGCATTCTGAGTCAGATCAACTGACTTTCATCTCTCTCTCTCTCTCTCTCTGATACAATTGAGATTTAGGGTAAAGGGACGAAGGGCTAAAGGCTTTCTGATTATGACATTTAAACTATGCTATTCACCTCATCATGGTCATACATGTAGATCCAAGAAGAGATTGGATACCATTCTCTCTCTTTTCCTTTGTGGAGGGGGGGGGGGGGGGTGACTTGACACCCATTGGCTCATCCCACCTGTCAATATCTTTAATCTTACTTTAAAAAATGTCGAACTGTTTGGACATTGCATTAGAACTTCTTGAATTAATATACCAATGCCCAATGGCTATTGTCCTTTTCTTACTTATAGCAGAAACGTATCCTCTTGGGCATTTGAAGAAAACATACCCCCGGTAATTGAATTAAACAAGAGTCGAACATAATCCACTATGGACATTATGCTACTGGTTACTAGAGAGACAAGATTATATGTACAGCAGCATATGGGGATATACTCTTACCTTGACCTTGAATTTTCTCAAGGTGTATGTGATGTTCATGCATTTTCAAGTCAAAGTTGCTTCAAAATACGTTCTTCACACCTCCCATACATACTGTATTCTTTCTTTCTTTCTTTCAACAGGCAAGAGATACAGTTGTCAATTTCTTGATAAAGTTACCAGTGGACTTCAAAGACATTCCAGCATACCTGATCAAGGTACCTTGTGTTTAATCCTCTTGTTTATTTTTAAGTTTTAAGGAAAATCCCTACATGCATAGCCTTGTCATGATTTCGGTTAATAGTTAGTTGGTAATTGATAAGGCAAATGGTTTTTTTCTTACAGGAAAGATTTAGGTTCCTTTCAGTTTATTTCAACAATCTGTCTTTATTGAGACTTCATTCTACACAAGTTCCTTTTATCCAGTTCCTGTGAGACCGCATATCCTGGTTGTTTTTAATTGTACACACATTCAAATAGAATGAAATAATGGTATTTTTTCAGAAATAGTAAGGTGAGTTAAGTGCATGCTTATCTTATAGTGTGCCTGTTACATTGTAGGTAGGAAAGTTTTGCTCTTTCACAGGTAGAAGAAGACAAAAGTCAAGTACAATAACGGATCACTTTCGAGAGCATTGACTAAAATAACACTTTGTTGTCTAATTTTACAGAGCTCCATTTACAAATGTACCAGAGAGTTTCTATTTACAAGATATTCAATCATTTCCATAGAAGATGCTTGTTTTATTGCTTGATGCTCTTTCTTTCCATTCCTTTCCAGGACAATCCAGGAGATGACATAGCCATTCTTCTAGTTAGTTTCCAAGGTATCGATGGTAACAAAGCATCTCCTCAACTCTTCCTTTCACCAAGGGTAGAAAGGTCAGTTCCTACCTCTAGAATCACTTCTTTACCACAAACTGAATTTCTCTGTCTTTTTAGGTAAAATTTCATACGGTAGATATACCGCAACATTGGCATTTGAGGTGAGGTTACGTAACATTCTTTGATGAAGGGAATCATAGCTTGAATTGTGACTATAGTAGGCCTGATACAATTATTTTTATCATTGCTGGTATGTGTTTATTTGTGTACATCTATAGAGCGGTATAAATATTTACCTTGTATGATTGAATGTATAAGGTATTTCTATTTGGCAGTATCAGTTGTTTTGATGCTTTGAGAAGTACATATTTTCTATTTCACTCAATCATCTCTGTTGAAACCTATATTAGGCATGTGGTAATGCACATAGAGTTTTGAGATTTTCAGTTAATTTAGATAATTGAATGAAAATCAGTAATATTTATCATGCTCAGAAAATTGATGTGACAAATATAACTTCTATGTAGCATTTGTATCTGTTGTATGCTGTTTTGGGTTGTTTGATATTTAGAGGAAGTAATTCTAATCTTTTGTTTTGCCTCTCGTTGATTTGACAGAGCATTAGGAGGTTCATCAAGTCTTAGAATACCAGCTTTCTCAAACAGGGGTCATCTCACGGAATATACAGGACTCATCCTGGAACTCTTACAAAACCTGGTGAGTTTCCTTCTCTGGGGAAGTCTTCCACTTTGGAAGTGGTTGTACGCAATTACACCTATTGTGTCAATGTGTAGCTTATACTTTTTGAGAATGTATACATGATTAGATTAAGGATCGGTTAATGAATAATTGAACATATAAAATTATGGTACATTATACCTCATTGAAAGGAGAAACAAAGCCATCAAATATTATGCAAAAGAGTTATGAAAGTAGATTGATTTAGTACTGTTGTTCAAATGAATTGTACCACTATTGCCAATGGAAAGGTAAATGGTCTATAGTTTAACCATACTGCTTTAAATATATATACCCTTCCCGATGTGTATGATTTAAAATATTTTGTAAGATAAGTTGAAGAAAATCTACCACTATTCTGTAATCAATTCCTCTGAGATGTGAAAAGTGCTTTCTAAATGCTTCTTTACAGGCTGGTGTATTCTGCTCTGAGAAGCAGATCTTATCATTGTCACTTTGTTTTCATGTAATAGGTGGAGCAAGTTGTTAAAGGATATCAGAAGAGGAAAGAATTTGTGGCAGCTCTCATCAGTCATTACGGAAGGTATTTCACTGACATTGTTTGCTATAGTCCATAGCTCCTTGAAGTAAAAATGGTAATGTGAAGGCTCAAGTAAAATTGTTCTTATGTTAGTTACTAGAATCGTAGCGATGAGTGAAGTCAAATGATAACATTGGCTTAGATTTTATGAATAGCAGTAACAAAACCGCTTCAATACAATTAGTTGCAGCATAAATATTGTATATTGTGTAGTAGAAGTGTTTATTTAAAGATGATATATGGAGTAAGTATCAAAATGTATGCAGTTCTTGTTTTTGGAATAGCTAAGTGAATTCTGTTCAGAGTTATATTTTAACCTTGATTGTTATATTTTTGTGTGATTGTAGATCATGTCTTGAATTTGACTCTGAGGGATACAGCAAAGCATCCTTCCTGTTTGAGTTGCAGGAATTTCATTTCATATTACATGGTGAGTTTCCCCATTCATTATTTAAGGATGAGTTTTAAAAAAGAATTGCTCAAGTAGGGGTTTGACTTGTTTGATCAATACGTGGAGGTCAGCTTATTAAGAATATCAAGTGAATACTCATTTGGCTTAAGCAAAGGCGAAATCTATACAGTGCATCCCATAAAACACGAAACCGAGAATTGTTTTTAATCACTCATGCATGAAACATGCATCATAATATGAGTTGCATCAAATGAAAGAGGAAGAGGAGGCTTTACAAATATGTGTCATTTAATAATTATAATTGTGATTAAGTTATGATAAAACATTGATAGTTCTCAGATTCATTTTTTCTGGGACGCACTGCATATCTCTTCTGATTCATCATTACTCAAAAGCATAAGCAGTGATTTGATAACCTTCCTGACACTATATACAAAGCAACGGAGGTGGAGGGGGGTATTTTTTTTTACTCCTCTTTCACATTAAGGGGTGTATTTGGAGGAGCTTTCGCCTTTGATTTTTTTAAACAGAAATATGGGACCATATCAATGCTTTAAATCACCATTATCTTCATTATTATTATCATGATTCTACTTATTTTTCTTTTGGCAATCTAGAGATTTCTTTGGATTACATTTTTTGTCTCAATCTTTCATTACTAGACTGGCCTCGTTGCATAACATTTGTTCATGCTCTGATGCTAACCATAAAGAACTTTGTTCTTGTGTAATGGTTAGTGTATTGTCAAAATGATTGGATAGGTAATGATGCCTCATAAAATATTTTTAAGCACTTGCAATATTTGTATTGGTATCAAATGACGAAGTTAAATCTTGACATTTATTTTCAGTGCGGATACCAAGCTTCTTTCCTCGTGAGCAGCCAGAGTTTGTTTTCCAGTCGGTCTATCATACAACGTCATCGGGGAAACCTTTCCAAGCAGTAGTAGCCAACTATCCATACAGCCCTAGATGGAGTGGCAATGAGATGGCTGAAAGAGCCAAGTAAGACTGCATTGAAGATCAGTGGGGTGTTTCACAAAACTTGTTATCAATAACAAGTTACAAGCTACTGTTATAAGCTACTGAAATCATGGCATCTGATTGGCAGAGAGCAAAGTTGTCATAAAAATTTTGCAGTTGTTATAGAAAACAAATTTTATGAAACGGGCCCCAGAATTGTAATTGCAGCTTGTCAAATATCTATAACAAATTACCAAAATGAAAACAAAAAAATATAAAATCTTTTCCCACCTCATAGACTACTACAACATAGAAGAAACATATTCTTCAACTGTTTAGAATGATAAGAATATTGTGGATATCAATTCGAGTTTTGAAAATCTGACAAATGTATACATGGGGTTTTGAAGAACCACAACTATTGTACAGAAATGTATATATGAAAACACATTTCTAAATCTTGTACTTATTATTTTATTTTTTAAAAGTTTTTACATCAATAATGTAACAATTTACCTGTTACAGATGAGTCTCACCTCATTTTAGATTAGTTTATTGATTGGAAGGTGGTTGGGGTGACGGCTTACTGAAGCTCAATGCACTCCTTACATCCTGACTATAACTAGATTGTAAAAGAAAGTGCGATATCAAAAGATTTGAAAGTTATGATGTGTCAGGTCTTCCGATTGAGGTCCTGAAAGTTCGTACAAAATTGCAGGAATAAGAGGAGCAGTTGCATCTGAATTTTTCTTATGTCACATCAGTCGTACAACTGCCCACTGACTTATATCTGATTTGGTATTCTGACTGACAAGAATGAATTTCTATACTCCATAATTTCGATGATGACATTATAAGACTATTCTGGACCCAATCAAGTAATGATTTGAATACATCTTTAGACTTTCAGATCCAATCCTTTTGCAATTTATTACAAAATCCATTCACAGTCCCGTCATGGTGATGTATATATCACTACCATTGATGAGGGGTATTTCAGCGATTGCCTGTGAATGTTTGCAATCAGTCTTTGAAGTGGTATATGCTTTATTTTATTTTGTGAGTCTCCATAAGAGCTCTTCCTACTACTCTCTCTTAAAATAAAGATCAAACTTCAAACGGTAAGTTCTCGTTTAATCTTTCTATTATTATCTATCCTACAGAGTGTACATGGAGCAGTACATTCAGGACTTTAAGAGAGCATCAGTGACAAGTGGACGCTTTACCTAAGAGTGAGTGAATCTGGGATCAGGGAGTCATGAACTGATCTGCATCATGATGCATCAAAGGCTTCTGCTCATAGAACTATTGGTGTAAAGACCTCTACACTGCTTCGTCTGACGACATGTTAGGCCAAGTATGTTGTGATGGGAGTACTGGTGGCTTGAGTTCTGTACCCGTTTGGAACTATTTTCATTTTCTGTGTATTTTACATTGTCAGGAGTTTTCAGTAAAGGATGCTTAATAATATCTTATCTCTTACTAGTAACTGACACGATGTCATTTGGGATGTATGTCATATTTTAGACAAACCTATGGATTTCTCTTTGTAATAGTTCCCCTACAAAATAAATGGAGTGTAGTCACAAAAGTGTCATATTTTACTTGTAGTATTATCAACATTTTATTACATATGGTGAAATTTTCATCAATATTATTCTAGACATCCAGATGCTAATAACAAACAAACGCCATGTGAAATAGTTCAATCAGAAAATTGTATATGTTTGTTGGTTGATAGGTATTATTTTCCATCATGTTTGGAACGTACTAAATGTTCTCAGAAATTTAGGAATACAAAAGGACCCTAACAAAAAAAATTAAACACAATAAATGATCATCTGTTTGTTACAAACTTTCAAGTAGGCCTTTTGAATAGTTTATGATACATCTATTCATTATTTTAACTCATGCACTATTTACATAAGGAAATTCCTATAGTAGATTAAATTATAGTGAGCTATACTAGGATCACTTGTAAACATGGTTCTTTCCGTAAAACCACCCCAAAACAAAAAAATACCAGTCAATTTCTAACAGTCTGGATGCTGATGTAGCTACCCAGGGTAAACATGACCAAATTATATATTTAAAGTTTACTGTGGAATTTAGTTTAACAAAAGGGAAACTCATTTGATCCAGAAAAAAGTGCAATACTTCATATGAAAATGTTGTACAGCTGTTCTTTTATGTTTGCCCTATATTATTGTGTAAAATATAAGAATTTCTAAGAAATGAAGGTCCTTGTTTTTATTCCTTAACATTACATTTATTAGAGATGATGAAGGTATGTTGGAATGAAAAGCCTGAAATCTTTCCTTGTGCCAAGTTACCCCATATGTCAGGTAACTGACCATTATAATTTACAGACAATATACAGGGATGCCAGTTTTCAGGTAATTGCCTGAATTCAGGCCCTGGCGAGTTATTTTTAGACCATAGTTAAGGCTTTTTTTGTGTACAAAATAACTCATTCTAGGTGATTTTCAGGCCCTCTGATCAATTCTAACTGGCACCCCTGAATATATGAGATGTTAAAAAATTAAGGTCTACATCAGATGAGGAAAAGTTGTATAACTTTTTTAAGCTAACAAGAAATATGCTACTGTCCAAAATGAAAGCATAGAGTTCAGCAGGCATTATTATTAGTGGACCTCATTTAAACGATGTTAGTCGGTTGAAATAACAATGTGCAGAGTAAAAGCAAAGATTTTTCCTATAGATAAGTAGAAGACTGTATTGGGTAACTGGTTTAGACCAATGAAGACAGATTGATGTACAAATATAAGATCTTTAGAAGAATTGCTTATGATGAGCCCAGCACATTGCCCATTGCAATTTGCCAAGAAAAATAATTTCATACAACATCTGGATATTGTGTCAGTGTTGGCAACTGAAATTACTTAACTATTTCTTGTAAATGTCTTGGACAGTGCTGTATAAAGTACTATGTGTTTATATTATTATAAAAGCTATGCATTATATTATTCAATTATTAAAGAAGATAACTCTTTGGCTGAGTAATATGACTGTGTCTGTGGTTATTCCATTAGTGTCATTGTTTTCAAGTTAGTAGTGCATTTTTCTCTTTAATGTAAACTATGATACAAGCGACACAAGCATGGGAGATAATGTTACAACTCGATTTTATTTTTGTAATTCTTCGGATAATGGAAAACAAAAACGGAATTGAAATGTTCATTACAATTGTGTGGTATTTTCACTTTTTCTTATTGGCAATAGCTGTGATGACACACATGGAATTATATATTGTGCATTACTTAGAGACAAGCATGGAAATATATTATCTTAGATTTCTTGCCCCAAATTATTATCACATGCCTTCTACATCGGCCACTTCCAATGGATTTCTTATGAGGAGTTTTTTTCTCCAAGAGGAGTATGGTTTTTTTTGTAGAGTTTTTCCAAACAACACAAATTGGCATGGATCGGCATTATCCTGTAGCAAATACATGTATAAAATTATGTAGTGCAGATAGGCTTTTAAGTACTATTGATAGTAGTACAAAAAACATATAAATGCTGATTATGTAGCTGGAAGTGTAATGCTTATGATTTTCTTTTTAAGTTTGCTGATCCTGTAACAAAATCATTCCGAGAAAATTAGTTCTGTGGACAAAATCAGTCCCCAAACAGATTTGGAGGTCAAAATCAATGAGTAGGGCTGATTTAATAAAGAATCATTGATTTAGTGTATACACTTGGCACCCGGTAACTGCAAGATATTTGGTGACCCGTCTAAACTTCCATTCTAAATCAAGCAATTGACTATTACATGAAAAAGACAGTTTACAGATGCTATATTTGGAGGGGAGTTCTTAAATAGTAGTTTATGATATGCTATTATTTGCATATAGTATAATAGTTCTATACTTGTTCGCCTTCAAAAGGAATATAATATCTTTAAAATGTGTCTGTCGGAATAAGGGAGATTACTTAGTATCGATGTGTGTTGTGGGTAGCTGAGTGGAGTTGAGGGGGTGGGGGTGGTAGGAGGGTGTGGGATTCGTTTAGGCTCTCATTACATGGTTGCCTTGTAATAAAAGGTGAGGGGTTAAAGCTTGAATGATCCTGACTGGTATGAGTGCAGGAACCTGATGCAGTATCTTGCTTGATACATGATACCCAGATAGGAGCTTGGGTGAAGAAGGAATGTTCTGTCTTAGGAATGGAAGTTGATCGGGAGATGGCGATGGATAGGGGTAGAATGGAGAGCAGTCTGTCTACTGGTGTAAAAATGGTGCAGTTGTGTGGAAATGAAAATCTTTGGGCAGAGAAGGGATCATTACATTATGTTTTAAAGAGTAAATGGAATAAATAAAGAGAGATAGTACTTCACTCTCTCAAAGCAGAAATCAAGAGCAGTATGTAATAATTTAATTTATATTCACATGACTTGATGTGCTTTGGGCTTTAGTTAATTTTACAAAGGCCGTTTACTTCGCCATTTGAAATAACCCTGGTTGTGTATGCGTCTTCTGAATCACAATTTTCAAAATCTTTTCTAATTTTCGTTCATATTGTTTCATATTGTAAACTCTCCCTCACATTGCCTGGTTAATACCAACAATGCTACATCAGGAAGGGGAGAGGGAAAGAGGGTAGAATTGGGGAGCAGAGGAGAGGAGGAGGAGAGAGAGAGAAAGATGTATTGGTAAAAGAAGTTGTCGCAACTTTTCGGGTTATAGCGGCAAATTTTCACTATCATCTCCAATCCGACCCTCTATGCCATTAACTTCTACCCTCCCAAATGGCCGTCTTCCAAATCTAATTTGGCAAAGTCAATGTCCATTAATTTCTTCAATGAATATACACCTCCAGTCACACTGTTGTACTAATAGTTTTATTTGGATTGTGACATGATATGTGTTGCTCAGTTGGAGTTATTTTAACAGAGGCCCCAACTAATGTAATTTGGTCGCGACGGGAGCCCACACATATGTTATATACTGTATATATATATATGTATATTCAACAGCATTGTTTCAAAGTAAGGCTTATATCATGATTCGTTTGCTATGCAAAATATATCATTGACGGGTTCTCATGAAAGCTATTTATCAGCTTATTTACCATAAAATTATCCCGTAATAAATGCTTCATTTACTGATAGTTTATCAATTCTTTTGGAGCAATTCAACCAATTTCAAATGTAGATGTAACAATAAAAATGGGCTAAAAAAACTGTCATAAAAGACATAGCAACCTGCCTCTTGTGAGGCTCGAACTCACGACCTTCAGATTATCAGACTGACGTACTGCCGACTGTGCCAACGAGGCTGCGGATTGAAGGACTTCCCTTCCTCAATCTGCTCATAAATTCATGGAATCATTATTTTGAGTTATATGTTCTCTCCATCTTTCTTTCTATCTTACTCGCCTCTCAGGCTTTCTCTACATTTATGCCCACCCCTATCCCTGTCTCTCTGGCTCTGTCTGTCTCTGTCTGTCTCTGTCTGTCTTTGTCTGTCTCTCTGTATCTCTCTCTCTCTCTCTCGCTCTCTCTTTCTCTCTCTCTCTCTATTTATCTTTAAATTATTCAGTCTTTCATTAATCATTTCATTTTCTCCTTAGTTCTTTGTCTTACGTCTTGTTAACCCCTCACTTGCTCTCTCTCTCTCTCTCTCTCTCTCTCTCTTGCTCTCTTCCTGTCTCTCTTTCCTTTTTGTTTTCATTTTTTTTCTTCAAATACTCAAACTTACATTATTTAATTTTCTCCCTTCCTCCTTGGTATGTGTATGTCTATATAGGTCTTTAACCTCTCCACCTCTCTCTCTCTCTCTCTCTCTCTCTCTCTCTTCACTTAGTTGAAATCAGTAATGCAACACTCAAAACAAAATTGACTTGATGAACAAGAAAGTTTCTTTTATCAATATAGATTAAAGTGCATGTTGTTGTGTATAGTTACATAGGAAAGGTCAGGAGAAAATAGCATATCACTCAATACTTTAGCTTTGTGATACATTTTATATTTTTCAGTGATGTAACGAACAGAAATTTATATTAACAAATCAATGTCCTCAAACAATAATGCATTCCAATTTACCCGAACTAATTTTCTTTTCAATTCAAAATGCGCATTTATTTACGATTCCATTCTATTTGCATTAGAAAATTTATATTACACCTTCACAAACATAACCTATTTACAGTGATACATAGCACGCAATCATTTTCTTTCATTTGATAACGATCATATATTTACAAATATTTGTCTTCATTCCTTCGGCTTTTTTCGAAAATGTTTTCGCCATCATTCAACCGTCTACAGTGACCGTCCTGAATTATTTTATTATAATTATTATTTATCCGGCAAAGCAAAATGAATACAAAAGAATTACATAGAAGCACAAATCATACAAAACAAAAGATGAAAAACAATGTAAAATATTATCGTGATTCCCATGAGCATTTACATGTTGCCAGGAATGGGGCAGGCAAACTAAATACCAAAACCGTGAAGGTCCCCCATTCCGAATTACTGAAATACTACACTACTTTGACTTCGATATGCCTGTCATAGGCACAATATGAGCTTCATAATCATCGATTGAACTATTATTGTTACTCCAGTAAATTCAGGTGCAAGTTTTTTGCAAGTATTAATATTTATTGATCACACATAACACATTATTGTGTATAATAGCACGACGATCTACTTCAAAAGCCCCGTTAAGTAGACTTTTTGATTCACTTATATACACGATTATACTCTTCTCTTTTTTCGAAGTGATCAGCGACAGGCCAGTAAATAAAACTATTTTTTAATTTCATCTTAGAACGTCACGAAAAATAATGGTCAATGTCATTGTCACTCTGTCATTCCCATTGTCATTATATTCAAATATCAATAGCAGACTGTATATTTATTACTGTGTTCTCACACCCACTACATCATACACGGCAATACAAACATCAAGTAAACACTGCAATACTGAAATACAATGTGCCTTGATTAAAGGCTGAGTATATGGTTGAATTAAATAATTTTAAACAAACCACACAGTTCTGGACCACGTTATCTCACTTTAATGACATAATACACTCTCAATGAGAATGATAATCTCACTCAGCTCAGTGTTATGATCGAAAATTGTTCTAAAACTTCAAGCTCGGCTCTAAATAGAAATAGTTGGCATATTTCCTTCGTGCGTCACATAGCAACGGTGAAACGCAAAGTTAAAGAACTCTAATTGCTGACATTTCTCTCGATGGAGATACAAAGAGAGAGATGTGGCAGCAAATAAATTCACAGGAGGGTGGAAAGGGTCGTCGTTCCTTTGAAAGAAGGAGATGAAGAAAAAAAGAGTTTGAACTGAAAACAATGCTCGGGACTGTGAACCCACCATCCTCCTCCAAAATATTTCGGATCCTCCTTTCTGTCAATCTCAGCACTGATCCCCTTTCTCCCAAACCCCCTCCCCCTGTCCCCCCCCCCCCCCCCCTCTCTCTCTCTCTCTCTCTCTCTCTCTCTCTTTCTTTATCTCTCTCTCTCTCTCTCTCTCCCTCTCTCAACCTCTCTCTCTCTTCCCTTTCTCACTTTATCTTCCTCTCTCGATCCTCCCTCCCCTTCTCTCTCTCTCTCTTCCTTTCTCCCTCCCTCCCTTCCCCCTCCCTTTCTCTCTCTCTCTCTCTCTCTCTCTCTCTCTCTCTTTCTCCCTCTACTCTCTCCCTATCCCTTTCCCATTTCGTCTCCTTCACTGTGAAGGGTTATGACATTTGGGATCACCAGGAAGTGTTTGGCGCCTCGGTATAGACAATGTCAACAAACATGGCGGAGGATTTATCATCTGCGTCATTTTATCATAACGTCTATATAGGCTCTCATTAGCTTGGTTCAATTACAAAGTTAAAGTGATAACTATGGTGACACCGTTGTAATAATGATAATAATAATAGTAACAGTAAATCGTCATCCTCGTCGTCATTCTCATCATCATCATCATCGTCGTCGTCGTCGTCTTCGTCATACACTTTGTACCTGCATAAACCCTTGATGCACAATATATAAAACTCCTAATCAAACAACTAATATAGACCAACGAATATCCCTATGTATTTTTATTTCAAAGGTCAGCTACCCGTAACTATAATTGCTTCTTCTCTTTACGGCGTAACAGCTCAAGTCCAATAATTATGATGTCCGCCACTTGTGTTATCATGATGAATGATCTTCTGCTGTAATGATCGGTAAAGCATTTGTGTCCTAATGATGATGAGATAGAGTACGAGGGTCATTGAGGGGATTCACTGCTTCCACACCTATATCGTCTTCATTACTGCTGAATACAAAGCTACTTTACCATTTACATTTTAAATCATAGTGAAGTGACAGATATGTCAATTCCTTTACATTGAAAACGATTAAAGAGCAATGAAACTCATAAGATAACGCTTGGATTAAATCTAAATGGTAAAAAATTACGCCAGCCGGCAAGACCAATATGAGACTAACAATATAATCACCCCTTGGCTTAATGGTTAAAATTGGTCGGTTCTGGTATTATAATGGAGTCGGTTTGACCATATGATAGAGGAGTTAGCTATGTTTGCAAAACCATATTGAGAATAAAACAATTAATTGTGTGTGACGAAAACACAAAAGAAGGTACTAATTTCACGAAAATGGGAAGCGCGCGTTTTACTTCAAACTGAATTTTGTTGTGTTTTAGCCTTCACTTTGCTGAGCAGATTCAACTTGTGGGTCGAGGACGGTTGCTTTCTGAGCCAGAGGGTTGTTGAGCTCAGCAACTTCGTTAGTCAGGTCGCTGGCTACATCAGCCTGACCGAGCTGTACGGCACGTACTGGGTGTGGATTGAAGTCCAAGTCGACAGCGACTTCAGACAGCTCTTCAAAGTCGGTGAAATCGGCGGCTTGGTCCTGAGCGATGTCGGCTTGTCCCATCTGGACTGCTCGCACTGGAGGACTGACTACATTTTTATCCGTGTCGACATGTTGTTCGAGGTCGATGACTTCGCCACCGTGGTCAGTACTGACATCGGTTTCTCCCAGATGGACAGCACGAACAGGAGGGCTAACAACACTCTTGATATCATCAGCCTTCTGTTCGATGTCGGTGACGCCATGGTCTTTAGATACCTCTGTTTTTCCGACGATTGCCCTGACAGGAGGAGATGGGGGCTTCACTTGAGCTTGCTGCCCCTTCTTAGTAAGAGGCTTTGCCTCCTCTATGATGATATAAGGATAAATGGGTATCAAAAGTAGTAATTAGAACAAAAAAAATACAAGAGACCGTAAAGTAGTGACATATCTTACACAACTCATTTTCTTATACCACGAACCCAACAATTTTTATGTTCTCCAAGATCTTTTCTCGAATTTTTTCTTTTTCTTCTTAGCTTGACAAAATAAGATCGGCTATATTGTGCTGCATTTATAGTGCATACCTTGCATGCCTCAGCTACAGGTAGCCTTGTTTGTGCTTAATCTCATTTTCTTTTTGCTTATTAGCTTTCAAGATGCACATTACCTTTAACTGAGTGCAGGTGAGAAAAGCGCAAAGCTTTAATGGCAGACAATCAAACTTTGATAAATTTAAAGAATTATGTGAACATTTTTTTATTTTTTTGTAACACTGATCTATGAAAATTCCGTACACTTAATTTGTTATATTCATGGTTCGGCTAAGACAACTGGAACAGCTCTTCATTTTAATATTTTTTGTACCCAGTTGTATAATTTGCCATCTGTTTCGATTTAATTTCCCTCCGTGTCCAAATGGTGTTTGTATTTTCACGAGACTTCCTTTTGAATTGAAATAAGTCTGCACCAAAGGTAATAAAGAAATAGGCTATTTAAGCAAATGTTGTGTACAGGATAGGATAAAGCATGCAAACAGAAAATTCCACAAATTACATCACAGGTCTACTTCGCCATTTAAGATTCCAATTCATTCAGTAATCAAAGATTTATTAACGTTTTGGAGGTTTTTAACGAGCTGTTTGTCAGTTTTGTTTGGTTGTGTTTAAATAAATTACTTTTTATAATATTATTGTTATCAAGATGGGTTTGCCCTTGAACAAGTTAGGGCATTAGGATCCTCGGCAAACATTTGGTAAGTCAATGACGAAACTAAAGTCATTTTAATTTTCTTGACAACAGACTTTTTTCTCATCTTCATCAGACCTACGAATCCTATATTTATTTCATTCGAATGCATTAAAAAGAAATGCTTCACTTACCAATCTCTAGATGAAGTTTATCATTGAAGAGTAGATATCGTACACCCACCTCTATCTCTCTCTCTCTCCCTCTCCCT